TATATATATATATATATATATATTTAAATAGTTTTAAAAATAAGGACGTCCCCAAAAGGAGGTTTTAAGAGGAATATTTGGCTCACTTCTGGGTACAAATTTGATCTTAAAATTTTTGGTTAAGTAGCCACACACACACACACACACACACAAGAATGGTTAGACAGTAGTTGTTACCTGTTGAATGTATGTTGTCTGTGATGACGGAGATTTGCTAACGGCTCCATTCTGCTTGTCTGATTTACTATCGTTTTGTAAATCTTTTGAATCGGTGTCACTGGGAGAGTTTTGGAGCCGAAAGGTGTCTTCGCTGTCCGCCATGTCAGAGGGGCCTGTGAACTACTGCGACCGCGAGGCCTAAATAACAGAAGAGGAAAAAAAATCAACATCACTTTTTCAGTTCAACAAACATTTCAGTTGTTTAGTTCCCTTCAGACTATTTTGCACCACTTTAATAAGTACGTCCTTGACTGTAATGCCATAAATTCGTACCCAACCCTAACTCTAACCCTTTTATGATAACTTTAATCAAAAAACGAAATATACTTCCAAAAACATACGATATTATTCAAAATCGCTACAGAAATATCCGCTGGTTTCGAAACATTATTTATTAATACACTTCGATATGGTCCTTTAAAAACAGTGCAGTGCAGTATTTATAATTTTGAAATGTTTGCCCACATAAATTATCCAGGTAAAAAGCATTCTTTGAACACAAACACATGCATTACATATACATTAATATGCATAAAGATACACAACAAATATGCCTGAACATATAGATATTTCAATTCTAACTTTTCCTTCATGCTCCTATCCAAGACAGGAATAAAAACATCTCACGGGCCTCTATTAGAAGTTTCTTTGACTCAGGCACAAAACCCCAGTACAAGTGTTTGATAAATAATATTCCGCGATGTTACTACAATTACAGCTACAACTAGACCATTCTATGTGTCACAGATATCGCAGTTATAGTTTAAACATCTGTATGCCGATGGTTTATGCTGTAGGGAATGTCTGTAGTAGCGATGGCCTGTAGTGCAACAACTCTAAATGAATCAGACTCAAATGAACCCGAAGAAACTGACATTACCTTAAATTCCGATGCAAGACAGAGTTTTATAAATCCCTGAAACGGTACAATGCGCTCGTATCAGTTCAAATATTCTCGGTTTGATAGCGAACTCCCCTTTGAATGTCAAATATATTCCAACTGTGTAGATCACGAGATTCTGCTCTGTGAACCCATGGATTTCCTCTATGTCCTCGCTGAGGCAAGAATCTTCATCCAGCAAGCGTCCACGTGAGTATATCGATTAAAAATGCGAATCTTTCTTCATGTGGTAGTGATGGACTTGCACTAATGGCAGTTCACAAGCCTTCAGAGCACAGCAGCCCTTATTCTTCCCTTTACTAGGCTCTATCTAGTATTCCTCGAGAAAAGAAGCACGATCACCTCCTCCCTCGCTCTCTTTTTTTATCCGTCCCTCTCTCTGTCTGTTTCTCTAGTGGTCAAACCTTGTGCGTTACGCTGGAAAACGGAAGCGCTGGGATGAACCACGTAGGTAGTGTGGGTCGGCTGCGATGTGGACACGCACTGCCGTGACAATATCGGTCCACCCACAGTATAACTGCGCCCCACATCACCCCCACCCACCCTCCCTTCAGAAGCTCTGCATTCTTGAATGAGGAGACATTTTAAACGCACGTATAGGTATAATACAATATGTGCGCATCTTGTCTTGTTGTACCCCAGATAGCACACATACCTCTGCAAGATGTCTGTTAAAGATCTGCTGTGTACAAACATCTGATAGACGTCTGTAAGATGTCAGTTTTACATACATTCTAAATCATAAACATCTTAAAGACATTTTCTAAACGTCCATTTGACATCTGATTGGAAACGTCCTATAGACGTAGGCCTATTGCAGATGAGCAAACACTCTAAAAAATATGTCTTGCAGATGTTTCCGTTCTGTACTTGTGCTATATCAGGGACCATATACAATGACGTGTTCATGTGTTTTATTGTAAGTCTACCGCTAGTTCTTATCGAGGTTTTTATTAAACAGTGTGTATGTAACAACAAAAATGTATTAAATGAACAATAAAATGCAGAGAATATTGTGATGTCCTACATGCATGAAAGCTTTGGTCTCCATTAATTAACGATGGTGATAAAAAACACTAAGCCTGAGAGTAGAAAACAGACACATGACATGCAAAAACCAGCGGATTTCATTTGATAGGACGTTTGTAATGAAAAGTCACATAATATGTGTCGTTTGTTTGTGTGAACTACACGCCGCAGGTTTATGTGGCTTGACAAGACGGAACTGCCGCGGCCTGCAAATCGGAACGTTCAGAAACTATAAGCTGCCAGCTGTGAACAACAACGTGAACGTGTGGAACGTGTTTTTCGTTTTATTTTACGTTTGGTTGGTGTTGGATTAGGCTGTTTCTTCAAAATATGTTGAATTTTAGCGCTGAAGGCAAACATGAGTCTGGCAATGAAGATAACTGACAGTGTTCTCTTTCCTGGACGTTAGGAAACTCATACATAATGACATCGTTGGACATACTCGTCATTTCAGTTTCAAACCAGGCTATCTCCTGTAATAAAATCAAAACTTGGACTCCGCAGGCCACTAGACAAAGAGCTCTTCAAGTCACTTCTTATACCACAGAGTATAGTAAAGCGCCAAATCTAGTCAAGAAACTTCCCTGAACACAGGAACTAAATATAGCACATGATAACCCAGGGCTTCAAACACTACAGCGTGCGAACCGGTGTGTTAAAATCACAGTTCCGCCAATAGATAATAATATGACCTGTAGCGGTCTGTAGCGATTCAAGATCCGCCATGAGCATGAAAATCGTCCAACAGATCATTTCAATGCAGATATTTGATTCTAGTAATGAGTGATAACGAAACAGTAACAGCCCTCTGATTTAATGAGCTGGTGTGGTGTATCACAAACATTGTGTGATTTGTGGTATTGTTCTTTGTTCTAAAGAATCCAATTTATGGATAGGAATGCTTAAGAAACGGCTGATAAAAAAAATAAAAAATTCGTTAGACGTAGTATGTATCTGCACAATTGATCTTAACCCACACATATTGTTTTGTAATACTTTGCAGAAGGTCTTGGTATATGCACGATTTGTGCGGTCATAATTAGTGCCTAGGAAGACAGTTAAAAATAGAAAAACATCATGCAGACTGAATTATGGAGATTACTGTCCAAAATCGCTAGAATGCTCTAGAAAACATCTTCAAGCGTTTCAGTACATACAGAGGGCATAAATAAATGCGTATGATACACATTAGCTTGCAAGGAATGAAATGTTAACACTCTCCGCAAGTTCTTCTAAATTAGCCGTCTTGTGTGGATATTTGTGTAGATTAACAAGAAACTGAACTATTAATTATAAAACACTAAGAACAGTTAAAATGTTATTTTTAAATTTACCAAGAAATTCTTAAACGTAATATATCAAATTCAAAATATTAATTTTGTTGTCTAGAAGTTTCCCGCCCGCTTTTACACTTACTTAAAAATCCTTATTTTCTTTAAAAAAATTATAATTTAATTGTTCAGGATTTTTCCAGTTGTTTTTGAGATCTGAACTTAATTTATTTTGAAGTTATTTGCCAACTTGCCTAGCACAAAATAATTTACCAATGTGAGAATGCAAATATAGACTTGACCACTTGCTACTTGTGGCATAAAATAACTTTTCTCTTGAGTTTTTAAAACTTTAAGGTTAGGGTTATTTGTTGAAGTTTTACCTTGTCATTATTTTACTTTGGCTCGAGTAAAGCTACAAAATATGACGTCTTTTTGTGATTTTCTTTTTTCTTTTTTACATCAGATGGTAACAGTGTACGAATGTAGTTTTACCTTTCGTAAAACGGCATATAGGAGCTATTAAAGATTGTGAATTACAGAAAAACACTATTATTATTATATCATTATTATTATTTATTATTAGTAGTATTATTATTATTGACGAGATTATGCCTACTTCGACGCTCTTAGTTAATCACGCTGAGGCCCTGCATTATACAGTTAAAAGTGCACGGTCTGCTTTATTTATGCATTATTTCTTGTGTATTGTTTAATTGGATGGTATTTGAGCGCTTTCAAGTCGCCGCTTTATTTTTATCACGAAAAATATAAAAATTTTGTTGCAATAAACTTGTCTAAAACGACTTATGAAACTTTTGTCAGTATCTTGGCTTTAATTTGATTGAACAATGCAGGCTAAAGTGCATGGGAGAAAGTGGTCGCCTTGCCCGTCTCATCCTGAAAGATAAAAAGACCACTCATGAGTTTCACCCACCTTAAATTAAGAAATTCAGAAAATTCAGTACATTTTACACCCGTATTCTGCCCATATAAATCAGATAATATATTGATGTATTAATGATGGATATTTATATATCCCTCTTTAATATATAATGTGGTCTACGAGACTGTATTTTTAAATATTTTCATACATTTAACAATAATAAATAAAAAAGGAACAATTAAGTAAAGCCAGTAATCCCTTATTTTTATGCAATACATTAATCTACATTAACATATTCAATCTACATTACTTTAACAAAGCATCGCGATGGTTCATTAAACAGTAGAAGAGCAATATGTGAAACGCATCTTTATATTATCTCACATATGTTTGCATTCACATATTATTACACATATATAAACACACGGATATATAAATAAAATAATACTACAACAAAAACGTATTTAATACTACTACTACTACTACTACTAGTAGTAGTAGTAGTAGTAGCAGTAGTAGTAATAATTTATTGGAAAATCAGAATAAATATTGAATAATAATAATAATAATAATAAAATTTTATTTAGGCAATACACTTGGTTCCTCAATGGATTAATATATAAATTGATTAACTGTGTGTGTGTGAGAATTTTTGTTTTTCGTTCACTATCTTGAATGAGCACAGGGGCAGGATACGAAACAAATATGTGAAGTTTTTGAATATCATAAATATTATACCATTAATATCATATAGCCTAATGCATGGTCCTCAAGCTAATTTTCACATGTACGAAATGAAATGAAAACAAAGGCAGCATGTTAACAGTATAACCGTTTGTCCTGTTTGCACAGGTTCGGTATTGCTATGGTTCTGAACCCGTTTGACTCTCTCCTGAATGAATGGATTACAGAAGTCATCAGGAATGGAGGCTACATCAACAAACTTTAACTGTACTTTTTACTCGTTTATATTGGTACACGGCCCCTTTTCAGAGCCTTCCCGATTTTATATGTAGCTTCTCCTGTCAAGCAGAAGTTGTATGGCACCACGAGAGTTTGACATGACCACACATGTCAGCATGTTGGGTCAGCCCACCCTCCTGTGGCTGGATGCTGCTTTTTCTATAGGGCGATAAGATATCTGAGTCTCTCTGCGGCCCGAGCTCAGCAGCGTCCCGCAACACCTCTCACCTCACTCACAACTCCGCGCTCTGCTGGGGCCCTGGGCGCTGGGCTGGAGCTGACACATTTCTGCTAACAATCACATCACACACTGGACCCACATTCCGCCTTTCTGGTCCCCTTGGCTTTTTTTTCCATTCACTTCCAAAAGAGCCTCCGACCAATGGGTCCGATCCCACCGGCAGACGCCCCCCGCCGCGCGTGTGTGTGCAGAGGTCAGAGTCATTAAAACAGTTCGAGATGTTTGCTATTACAATCTTATTCTTAAAACGTACAGGACAATCCCTCTGTTTTTAAAATATCATCTTTGTCATGTTCAGAAGTTCATTAATGACAAGAGAGAGAGAGAGAGAGAGAGAGAGAGAGAGAGAGAGAGAGTTCTCTGATGAGGGTCAGTGGTCACATTTTTGAAAGTTGTATTTTATCAGTTACAGGTTATTTGCTATAAAAGCTTACTATATTGGAGAAAAGCCACCTGGAGAAGCATTCACTTTTAAAATGTCATTGAAATTCTTTTGCTGAATGTTCAAACTAAAGATATATATATATATATATATATTTCCACATTTATGTTTAGAATGTTTTGTTAAGAAGTTTAAGGTGTGATAAGAAAATATAAATATTTATCCTTTTCCATACCTAGCCTTAGACAGCTATTTATTCATTTATTTCTTATGTAACAGTTTGGTTGATTACTGTCAGACACGTTTGCTCGTTGTAATATGCTGCCCTCTGTTGGCTGTTGTGGCTTTTCACATTATTTGGCCTGAACGTGGAAACACAACTCGCTCAAGTCCGATTTCACAAGCCCAACCAAAACAACGGAAGACGAGACAAAGACATAACCAAAACAATGTTCTTGAGAAAGATGCATGCAGTTTTATTTTGTAATCACTAGATACATAGTAGGGGAGAGCGGGGCACAATGTAACAATTTTTGACTTTCTCAGTTTGTGTAAATCCACATGGTGTTCATAGTATAATTTTGTTTATCCACAGTAATTTTACACTTGTCTAGTACGAATACGTCGCTTTGTTTCATAATTACAGTGTATACATTTTTCTTTATTTACCCTCAAAAAATGCAAGTGAAATGTGACAACATGCTCCGTAGGTGGGGTACATTGTAACATCTGAGGGGCACGTTGTAACATGACCATATGATAGCTTAAAATATTATCTGATCTAATGAAAAAAATATACAAGACAAACTAAAATATTTTGTCAATAACATAAAATTACTAACTTTTTAAAATAAATGAATGGCGTTTTTTTAAGAACTAAAAATGATCTGATTTTGGAGGTTGACAATGAACAAATTGCAACCATGCTTGGGATGGCCCACATAAACGAGCAAAAATGCTTAACATTACTTGAAATAATACACTTCTGAGCATTAAACATTGACTGTCAGTCTTTATTCACCTACTTTTACTATGGTAAAATAAATGTTCAGCGATATGTTCAAAAGATTTTTTAATATTGGCGCAGTTTTTTCTCTATATAGTGTTGATATGGCAACTTTTTTATGCCAAATTTTGTTATGCTAGCATGTGTGGAAGTATTCAAACCACGTGTGTTACAACTAACCCCACGTTACAAATGATTCAGAATGCAGCGGTACGACTGGTCTTCAACGAGCCCAAAAGAGCCCACGTTACACCTCTCTTTATCTCCTTGCACTGGCTACCGGTTGCGGCTCGAATCAAGTTCAAGACATTGATGCTTGCATATAGAGCAGCCACAGGCTCAGCACCCGCCTACTTCCACTCCCTACTACGAATCTACATCCCCTCCAGAAGTCTGAGATCCGCTAGTGAGCAACGCCTCGTGGTACCATCACAGAGAGGCTCAAAATCACTTTCCAGAACATTCTCGTTCACCGTTCCTGGCTGGTGGAACGATCTCCCCACCCCTATCCGGAATGCTGAATCCCTGACCATTTTCAAGCGACAGCTGAAAACTCATCTCTTTCGAAGCTACTTGACTTCATCATCATCATAAAAAAAAAAAAAAATTCTATCTCTTTATCTATTCCTTCTCTTTCTAGCGTGTACTTATTTGAACAATGTCTAAAAACGTGGTATTACAAGCACTTCCTGTATCTGTTTGCCTCTTTTAAGAAGAATCGCTTTATGTATCCCCCAATTGTAAGTCGCTTTGGATAAAAGCGTCTGCTAAATGTCTAAATGTAAATGTAAATGTAAATGTTACTTTGTGCCCCGCGCTCCCCTAGATACTAGTTACATGGGCTGTGTCCAAAATCACCCCCAATGCTGTTATATACTAGTGTATATAGTATATATACTAGTATATATACGATTCATTGGATGCTAGACAACACCATGCTCTGTTATCAATTCCTGCCAGAAGACTGTATCCGCAACACTTCCAGTACACTCAGTGTCCGAGTTCACTCGCTCGTTTCCATTCACTCATTCTGTGAACTATATTACTATATAGGCAACAGTGAATGAGAGTATATGGAGCGATTTCAGATCTCTGAATCAACTGTAAAACTCATCCTTGTGTTTGTTTGGTTGGATGCTTAATCTCAAGTTAACTTACTAAATTGGATTTTTAATTGTTGTTGCCAAAATTTGATAAAGGGCTTCTTATTCACCAGCTATCTTTGCACAATCTTAAGAGATTATCATTTCTGTCAAGGGATCTAAAGTGCTGATTTATGGCCATTTTCAAGGGTGTGTCAAATATGGAGATTAATAATACACAGTGTAAAGCAGTTAGCAGAGATTTGGCGAGTTTGTTTACTGATTTATTTTTATGGCCTATGAAATTGGCACATGGGAGAACAGAGAAAATTGACCATCTTTCTGCCAAACTGGAGTCTGCAATTCTCAGTCATTTTCAAGGATGCATTTATGGCATAAGGGCTAATACACAGTACAATGTACTCACAATACAATACAATCACATTACAAAGTTTTACTGTACAATGATTTTACTGCACCATTTTATTTGCATGGATTCATTACTTATAACAATATCCCCAGCAATTCATTGAATAATGTAATTTAATGGTCCTATATTACTACACCTGTGCATTTCTTATGTTTGTAAGTAGAGGTCAGTTATTTGTAATCTCACAAAACCAGTTCTCAAACATTCAAAACCACATTTTCCAATTTACCAAGTACATACTGTTAAAACTAAAGTATTTCTGATGGTAAAATGAGGAAGGATAATCTGACAGGTATTTAGTTTATGCTGATATCCCATAATAATTCCTATAAATACTTATTTTGTTAGTCTAATGCACAATGTGTGAAACCTCTGTGATATTGAATACACCCATTGTGACAGATAATTCACTGAACAAACAAAACTCAAAGTAATGATCATGTAGCTCTATTCTTGAGTTACTAAGCTCATGCACGATTTTCCATTCTTCATAAAACAACTACTGCCATTTTAGTTACAGTTGCCGCTGATTAATTGTAATATGTCTTTAAAAAATAATATCTGCATAAATAAGTATAAATTAGATGCATAAATAATCTGTGTAATGGATAGAGTCAGTGGCTTGCTGGTGAAAAAGTAGCTGCTCCAGCCCCGTCTTGTAGACCTATTCTATCATCTGTCTGCAGACTTATTTTAAAGGCAATTTTGACCAAGACCTTTTGTATTCTCAAATTTAATGTGCAGAGCCTTTGCAGTAATCCAAATGCATTCATATTGTTTTATGGCTTTTGCCTCATAAGACAAACTAAAAGTTAATGCAGTGGTGTGTCTGCTCTATAGTGAATCTTGTGTCACATCTGTCTTCATTTGGCTTCATTGGCAGATGGCATCAGGTTCAAGGTTGGGCACTTGTCAGCGGGAGAGGCTGGGAGATCAAACCAGCTAAAACCAGTGAACCATCCTAGACTGGTTTATGTTTTTTTTCAAACATGGATATTCTTCTCTGCTGTTTTACTGCTGCTTTATCACAACCGACCCTGGTGTTCTATACTATGAAAAATCTAATAAGTTGTCTGTCCATAAAACATGACCAATACTTGTATACAGACGGTGCACAGGGTCATACAAACAAAGACAAAACAGCATCATGGTAACACACATTACACTAAAACAAGATTTGACTGTATTTTATAGTAAGATTACATATAATGTGAGGTTTAAATAATTTACATTTTAAATAATTTAGCATTAACAGTTTTTTTTTACTTTTACAGTATTCTTCTGTAACAATTACAGTTTTTTGTTTTTTTTTACATCGTAGCAATCTTCAACTCTGTACGTGAATAATTATAAAAATAGGTAAATATCGCCATCGTGTGGACACAGTATCACACTTTTTCATTAATATTAAAAGTCTTCAGTCCTGTAGAGCCCCCAGTGTTCTGCAAAGATCAGCTCGAACTCACAAACACACCTGAACAAGATAATCAAAGTCCTCAGGATCGCTTGAAAATCACAGACAGGTTTTTTTTTGAAGCAGGTTGGAAATAAACTTTGCAGGACAGTGGATCTCCAGCAGCAAGGTTGAAATCAATTGCTAATATAATATCGTATCCCTTTTGTGAATAATATATCATGCATAATTACCTCTACAGTGAGTAACCAACTAGTAACCCGATGATATATCAGTCATGTCGTTCATGCATATTCAGTTCTTCATGCAGTACAGGGGCCTCATTTATAAAATGTTGCATGGAAACCGTCCTACGTTTGATCTTACGATCATTTCTCAAACGTGTGTACCTGTGATTCAGAGAAACGAACGTGTGTACGCCTCTTTTTCAGATGTGAAATCTATCAATCGCAAATTATCTTGAAATTGTGAGCAGCTGAATGGTTTTAGATCTCCACCTTGCGAACGCCCCCTATATTCATGTCATTAGCATATAAAAGAGCATCAGTCAACGTACAAATCCTTTACTTAAAGCCGATTTGTGTGCGAGCAGATCGGGAGGTGCAAGATTCGATCGGTGAACGCCTCACATTACCAGATAATCCACGCCGAACATCGGGAGCGATCGAGGGGCTCGACAAGATTTTTGCTCCGATTCTCGGGAGGGGGAAATCGGGGCTAAATCGGGCTAAAAATCCTGTAGTGTGAGCCCGGCTTAAGAATGGCGAGTGGCAAGAATTGCTTAGTTTATCCGCAGTACTCTGAGTCCAACTCTGCCAAAACACAAAGAAAAGTGCGTATACGTCTGTTTGGACCCTGAGGCGGCGCTAAGCACTTTTCCACGTCGTTTTGATAAACCTAAACGTTGGCGTGGATTTTAGCTTATACACACACTCACTCAAATCTGTATGTATGCGCTGTAGCAACTCATAATGTAATAACTGCACATAATGTAAAAACTGCACATAATGCAATGAGTATTTCATTATTATTGTAATAAAATGTTCATAATGTAATAATTTTCTCAAAATGTAATAAAATCTTGAGCTCATAATGTGTAATAACAATTATTACATTATGATACATTTATTACATTATAAACTGACCAACAATATTGTAATAAACCACTGGACTTTAGATCTGCGCCTTCCCTTCCTATTTTTAAATCCAGCCTGAAAACTTATCTGTATTCCTTGGCTTTTGGATGAAATGTATTTTTGTGTATTTTTATGTGTTTTTGTATTAATTATGTGTTTGTTGAGTCGTTTCTTTTTATTCTCTTAATCTCTATATTTACTTTATTTGTATATGTACAGCACTTTGGCATACACTAGCTGTTTTTAAATGTGCTATATAAATAAATTGACCTTGACCTAATATTGTCATAATTATATAATTATACTTATAATAAAGTATAGGCAGCCCAGTATAAGGGACAGTCAAAATAGTTGAGCTGTTATTTAGCCTATGTGTATAATAATATTTTAATTAAAGGGTTTTTTTTTTAATTAAAGGGTTTTTTTTTTGTTCATGATGCTAAGAGGAACAATGTCCCCTCACTAAAGTTCAGCTATAGTTTAGTTATTCTATAAATGCCAAAATGAATCTCAGACCTGAACATATTTGCTTTGCTTAATCCATTCATGTACAAATTAATTCTAAAAAGAAATTAATTTGGGCGTGGTTGACTCTTAACTTTTATAAAGAATATCTCTTTGGATTTGAGACTTTAGTCTTTGCAACTTTACAGATCTTCTTTATGCACCAAGAGCTTGTAACACTTCAAAGAGAAAGGAAAAATTGAAATCGCATCATATGACCCCTTTAATATGGAATGTTGCTTAAATATGGGAACAGTTGGAAATCCAACATTGCATGTTTTAAACACTTAGATTATGTTCTTACTTTGGCCATGCATTAAATGCACATCCTATTGAGTAGAGGGCGGGGTTTTATTTTTGCGCTCCTCCTCTCATCTCTCAGTCACAGCAGACTAATGGTTGAAGGTGCATGGTTAAGCATATTGTGCCCAAGCCGTCAAACTGACGTCATCAGAGAAGGCATGCCATTCCAGAGTGGAAGCAAATGATCAGATTTTGATTAAAGATTACCAAAACAAAATTTTTTTTTTTCAGAGGATTAACTTGCACAGATTAATTGTTGTCCTTAAGACTAGCAATGTGTGCTAACAAAATAAATATTGTAAATTTTGATTTCATGTGGACTTTTAACATCTCAGGTAATGTCCTTGGTATGATGACAACGACAGTGGTTACATATAAATATATTTTAATTGATCAAAATTATTGCTAGGAACAATTCAGTTGTGCCCCTACTAAATTCTATGTCCTTGAATTGAAGGCATTTTTTTATGAACAAATTTGGAAAAAACAAATAAAAGTTTCCAAAGTCTAATGTAGTCTGGGATAGATCGCGTTATCTGCCTTAGGCAACGGCAGCACGAAGCACAAGTTAAATGAACAATTCTTCACTTTAATACAAGTTA